TGATTTTTGAATGTTGTGCATATTTCATAGATTATTATCTACAATCTACATTTCTCAATCAACCTTTATGGATAATTTATTGTAACAATATTCTGATCATACATTCTGCAAAGATTTACGTTAATCATAGATATTCATACCAATGCGGACATTTTCTTCCATAACAATTTTTAATCTAAATAATTCATTTCTGATTCATCGGTACGCTCAAACTCAAGGAATAAATGATACACGTCTTGGTTTACAAAATTGTTTTTCTTCTTATTTCTAAAAAGTCCAATTAAGAATTATAAAAAATATTTGAGTTTTTTTTCGTAATAAAATTGACTTTGTTTAAATTCCCGGTGGACTTTCTCGTATTTTGCCTGCATCTAAAAAAAAGGATTAAATAATCAAACTTTACAAATACAAAGTTAGAGTAATTAATTTATTCAATTTTTTATATATTATTTTCGCACCTTGTGATGTTGGTGAATTTCTCTCTACACACTGAGATTCCTGGGTTGTAGTTCTTCAAGCAACGTTATAATTTTCGAAATGTGGAAAACGAAGTGGCCTTTCATGTTTGAAGGCATGTTTGAATCTTTATTTTTGTTCCTGCCGCTTCGATCTTTAGTTCCTTGTTTAGAGGCATAACTGAAAATTAATTCCAGTTATGTTCTCTTATATATCCGCAGTTTATATATTGTTCAGGTGCTTTGAATTTGATTCTCGTAAGTGATTGGTTAGCTATATGCGCATTGCTAATCTTTAAGAGTGCCCCCTTAATCCATCACTGGGCCCCTTTTCCGTGCGCTGTCGGCAAAGAGAAATCGACACTCTGCCGAAATTCCAAAATCTTTTCATGAAGTGCCTCAAAATTAAGAATGTTATATCTGTTTTTATATTGAGCCGTGGCAGCCATCAGACATGTAACCATCTTTATTCAAAAATGGAATTTCGGGGTTTTAAAAACTGTATTAAATGGTTTTGGAAGTAATGGCGCCGTGGTTGGTATTGTGGGATTATTCGTCGGAGATCACAAAATTTAGGGCTTGACCAAGTTCTCTATCACTCGGTCGGTACATAGAAGCGAAGGGGAATCGTCGGCCTTGATTTAACCCAATGGAACGTTTTTGGATACTGTCTTTGCAATACTAAAGCATAGTTTTCGGAAAATCGAAAATAGCAATGTAACTTCTCAACTAGCGTATTTCTTGCTCCATGAGTTATATCATAAAAAATATTGTTGCTTTAGCAAAAAAGTGATGAGAAGATAGATCTTTCAATTTTTCACACAAAATTTTCAATGAAAGAACTCTGTCAGTGTCTTTGCCAACGATTTTTCCAAAGAAACAATGCCATCTACTTGTATACCATTGTTTACCTGCTATTGTATCCTTCATCATTTTCTCGAAAAAAAATTGTTATAACAACTTACTGTGTAGTACAATAGTACCTGGACACTTTGTGCAATATCATGTAAATGGCAATCTTCAGTTGGTGAAATGAATATTTGATGCTTTGTAAAAAATCTGTATATGTACTCAATTGTGCAATCGAAACTCCGGGAGGATATATTTTCTTGCACCGCCAACAGCA